CTCGCCCCTCACTCCACCCTCCTCCATGTTAAGTATGGCATGTTGGACAATACCCTTCCCCCCAAGTTCAAGGAGACAAGGTTGGAATTTTTCAAAAGGAACATTTACTAGGAAACTAAAGGGAAACCAAACAGAATGCAAGAGAACAAAAGTAGAGCTGCAGATCGGCTGAGGGAGTTCAAATGTATAACGGGCCTCTGGCCACAGCTGGACTGGCTAGGCAAAGCTTTCCAGACACAAAGCCACCTGCCTGCCATGTGGGCAGGCCTCTTCGCCTTCTGGCCTCTTTAAAACCACCTTCTGTTTCATACCAACAAACCAGTAGCATACTCATTAGTACCCCAGGGCTGCTAGCTCTTTGGGCAGGAAGATCTTGATGGGGGAATAACAGACACAGCCACCCCAGGATCTCCTGCCCAGGCTCCCAGTGCCAAGGACATGTCAAAATTTATTGGGAGGGCTGCCTGATACTTATTCGGGACAGTCCGGTTTATCTGGGACCATTCTTCTGGGCTTATCTGCCTGGCTCTGGTGATCATATTTCTGCTGGTATGAGTGTTTCATGCTTTGCTCCTAACACTGAAATGGTGAAGGATGTCTGAATAGGGAGAACTAGGCAGAACGAGTTGGGCAAAGAAAGTAGCATTCTTCTCATGTCGTCAGACATAGGCAGAAACTTGGGTCCCCCTTCTATCCTGGAGGATGAAAGCCAATGAGATGGAAATGAATCAGGCAGGCTGGGGAGCACGTGAAGCTGGGGCACAGCAATAGTGCCCCACACAACCAAAGGCCTCCATCCTTTTAGATCTGACATCAGGGTATTTCCTATACCAGGCAGCTGTGGCAACACAAAACTTTCTGAAGACACACAATGATCCTGTTTCCACCTAGTCCTACTGAAATGATAATTCAAATGAAGATAATGAGCTTCCCCGGAAGGTAAACTGTAATCTAACTCTGGATTCTGCTGCAAAGGGATCACATGAAAAGGGAAATGTTATCTTGCAGAAGTGGTGAAAATGTGTGGGTGCGGTACCTTGCACCCATCATGGGAGAGAGAGGACTTCCCCGCCCGGGGTATGCTGAGGCCTTTGGTTTCATTTATATCATGGCAGAAGCAATGAGGATGAGGAACACAGTTGGCAGTGAGTTGGCTGATATGGTCACAAAGGAAGCTGAGTAATGAATGAGATACTGGGGAGAGCCCTTGTCCTTCACTCTTGTGGGTATTTCCATTCCCCAAGTGCTATGAGAGTGATCTATGTGTCTGGAAGTGAAAAGGAAACCTGTCTGTAGCTACCCAAGGCTACCCTCTGGGCTGCTGCATGTGGAATTACCCCAGAAGGCACGCAGGCCAAGAAGGCCCAAAAGTTGTGCCTCCACTCGTGGGATGGCTGTACTATCTCTCCATGAACTCAGCTCTCACAACAGCACATCTATTTCTGAGTCTGTTCCCCCCCCCCCCCCCGC